CAATTCTTATATATTGACCCGGCATATATAGCCAATACATTTGGATTAGATAATGATGGTATTTCGAATGAAAAACAAATTTTAGGTTCTCGTTATAAAAGAAGAGATAGTGCGAGTGTCTTAGACCTACATGAGCGTTTTCTTCATCTAATGATTTCTTGGTGGTTTCGACCATCCTGAGGTCGTTATTCTACTCTTAGAGCTTTGGATCTTTGGTGGTTACATCGTTTCGAAAACCGTATTAAAATTAACCTACCTCAGATTATTTTTGCTGAAATTGTTGAAACCGTAAATCTTGTTCCTAACAAGAAACACTGTTCATCTCTAGTTTACGGTTGCTTTTTGAGTAATCTGTTTTCCAAAGCTGGGCTTAGAGTCGGTCTAGATGCCGTTTTTCCTCTTAAGAAACAAATAAATCTTCTTTCCTTAACGAGAGCGGGATGGGTAAAGGACAAAGAAACCGGTGAATGGGTTCGTTCTTCTACTCTGGGAGCTAGTTCTTCACAAGCTCCACCCGAGGCTGACGAAGATCCCGAGTTTGAACAATTAATGAGGGATATTGATGAAGCTGAAGAAGAACCTGAACAACCCGAAGAGCAGCCCGAGGAGCAAGCACAACAAACGCATCAAATGCCTCCATATTTTTAATCCTTTATGGAGACATTCGATTTCCGATACGCTACCATGGACTCGCGCTTTTCCTCTATAGAGTCTCATTTATCCACAATGGGAGCTCAACAATTAGAGATTCTTCGGGAGATGCGTGCAAACAATGAATCAACCAACGCTCGTATCAATGAACTCACACACGAGATGGCCGCTATGCGAGCCCGTTTTCCTCCTACCGATCCGGATGCTTAATTTTATGTTTCTTTAAAACTTTGAACAAATGAATATTGTTTCAACATTTTGAATTGTTTGATTTTGTGGATTGTTGGATTTTGGATTTATGAATGGTGTGAACTTATATGTTTGGTGTTTTATTCATTTTTGCATCATTTACATTATCATTAGTAATATGACCAATTTTGCCATATCACATTATTTATGAATATTGATTTATGAAACTAATGGCTAACCTCTCTTTTGATTGTGATCTTAGCAGCTTAAGCTTATAATTAATAAATCAATTGGCTAAATGATTTTCAAAACCTTGTTTTACAATGTCTTTTTGATTTAACAAAAAGGGGGAGAAGAATAAGTGTTAAATGTTTTACTAAGTGTTAAATGTTTTACATGATAAATTGAAGAAGTGTTAAAGTAAGGGGGAGTAATTTCAAAACTTGATTTCAAAAATCTTAAAATTACTAAAATGTTTTGTTATATCAAAAAGGGGAGATTGTTGAAACATTTTAATATTTCGATATAACAAATTAAGTTAAATGGATTTTAAGATTTTCCAAATGATTTTCTAAGTATATTCGATATAACTATTCAAATATCAAAACATTACTCCAAATATTTCAAAAATCATTTTTGATCCTTACTTAAGTGTAAAATTAAGTTTTAATCATAAAACAATTTCAAAATAATTTTACAAAGTATTTCGAACCAATTCAAAGCCAAAAATTCCAGATTGCTCAGAGGGAACCGATTCCCCCCCATAGGAGGAACCGATTCCCCCTGAATGGTTTGGCTCCGAGAATTCCAGTATGCTCGGAGGGAACCGATTCCCCCCAAGGGGGTACCGATTCCCCCCTTGTACAACGGTCGAAATATTTGAATTTTACACTTAGGGAACCGATTCCCTATGAGGGGGAACCGATTCCCCCCACGCTCCAAGCTGTTTTATTAAATGTTTTCACACTAAAACGGCTATAATATCTTCTCTAATCATCCCCAACGTTCAGAAGTGATCCAAGGTGTATTTAAGCAAGCTTAGAAGCCATTGATCAACTACAAGAAACATCAAGCAACTAGAATCAAGAGAGAATCAAAGAGAAAGCATCAAACCTCAAGTTTGAGCATTTCAAGCCTATTTTCATTCAATATTCTTTTTGCTTTCAAGAACACTTTCTGTGCTCAATTGTATTCATCTTTGAGTGTTCTTTTCTTTGTTCTAGAATTGTGCAAACATCTTACCTTGTGAGGTTTTCTTGTAAGTTTGCAAATTTGTAATCTTCTCTTTGAGAAAAGAGTGTTCTCAAGAGTTGGGGTATACTCTTGAGGGAATTGTAAGGTTATCTCTTTGGCCTCAAAAGAAAGAACAAATTAGTGAATTTGTTGGAAAATCCTTAGTGTGGATAGCTAAGGTAGTGGACGTAGACTTTGTTTGAGAAAGTCGAACCACTGTAAATCACTGTGCAAATACTTTCAATTCTCTGCAAAAGCTTCCACAAAATTTTTATTGCCAATTCACCCCCCTCTTGGCCAATTTCGTCATTCGATTAACTCAACAATAAGTAAATTGTTCAAATGAGTCTAGTTTATTTATTTAATTACTCTAATCGATGACGACTTGTGATAAGTCAACCTCATTTTATTTTTTAGTATGATTTATAAATTTTCATTAAGGAATATTTCTATAATATTTTTCATAAAGTTTTATGAATGATTTTGGGTATGAACTGCCCAAGTATGATATTTATGATGATGAATTCTAAATGTTTACATTTATCAAACATTTCACTGTTATCAGATATTTACAATTATCAGATGATTTACAGTTATCAGATGTTTTTCAATTATCAGATGTAGATTAATAAATGATTATGTGATGATAAATAAAAGACCATTGTATGTTGCATTGAGAGTCATAGGTACATTTTTCATGTCATTAAGTGAGCGCTTATTAGTTGTCAGTTATCAGTTATCAGTTCAGCTTTGGTACATTTGTGTACCAATGTTCGTCACTGTTGGTGCTCAGGTTATGATTGCACTGAAGTGCATCATTTCACAATTTCAGTTATGATTCAACACCGTGTTGTGCCTAGTACGCATCTTATACTCACGTTCCTTGTATTCTCTTACATATACATTAGACTATAACACTAAGTGTGAAAGCTATGATAATATTTTCGAATGAAAATGAAAAGAACAAAAGTTATATATGATATTTGATGATAACTTACATGATTTTTGATAAAATCATGAGATGATGATTTTCAGGTTTTCAGAAGGAAAACAACCTAACTAGCTCAGTTTGAAGATTCAATTGTTTTTATTTAAATTTTTATTTTATTGTTTATATATTTTTGGATTTTATTCGACACCGTGTTGTGCCTAGTGCGCATTTTATGATTTTCACGCATAGGTTCGAATAAAGTACTGGACCTGAAGTGAGGAGCTTGCCAACATCTTATGAAAAGTCAAACCTACCGATAGTATCAGTAAGGCATCCTAACTTTGACTTATTAGTGGTATGTGCATTATATATATTGGGTTGCTTTATCAGATTTATTTTAAAAGAGTTTGTAATAGTAATTAGAGTTATTTTCTTTAGTTTTGCCTAATTTCAATATTAATCGTATTTATTAGTGAATAATATAAATGTTATATTTTAAATGGTTTAAAATCAAGCGGTATTAGGCAGTTGTGTATGGATATGAAACAATACTGAACTGCCTAATTACTAAATGAAATCATATTTGTTTTCAATGATCAAATAATATTTTATAAATTTATATGATTAAGGAAAAAGTTTTTAAAGTTAAAAAGAAAATTATTAAATGAAACAAAAATTTTAAGAATTTAAGTTCAAAAAATATCAGTTGAGTTGATGTGACATCTTTAACTCGTATTATGACATATATACGGGCTAAGGGTGTTACACTTGTATCTTCTTTCAAGTTAGTAGTTAAAGAATTTTCACTCTGAGTCAATACCTAAATTATAATTATATTCATTATTTCGATCATTTTAATAAGTTTTTTAAAATTAAACACGATGACATCATTGTTGACACAAAAACAATCTTATGTTATTACGTCATTAAAAAATAATATTATTAATAAAAATATTAAAACAATGGATGAAATTAAAATTCAACTATTAAGTTGAGAGTAAAACTTTTTAGGATATCACCTTAAGAGAAGATGTCTAATTCAAATATCAACTTGAAATAAAATTTTCTTTAAATACCAATTAAAATGTATATTTAAGTATATATATAAAAACACACAATGTGATTCATCCTATTCCTCTTGCCCTTTATCTTGATTAAGGAACGTTTAAATGTGCCATAAGTTTTGTTGGTTTCTTTTTTTGAATCGGGAAGAATTTTTGAGAACTCAAGTATATAAATGAAGAAGCGTATATAGAGGATAGAACAAGACTTTGAAGTATAAGGAAGAAGAGATTTTAGGAAGACTAATTCTGAGAAGAATGATATAAAGTTATATTAAAAAATTATAAGAAAGAATGATACATTCAGTTACTTATAAATTATATGATTTATCTTGCTTAAAATTTTAATATAAATTTTAAAAAGTTTGTACCCATATCAGAGTTAATATATAACTTTTCTTAAAAATTTATATTTTTATCTTGAAATCCTACATCCGTCGGTCATGTTAACAAGGGAATACGCAGTTTACTGCAAGGCAATTTTAGGTTGAAGTATCAGCCTGACATGCTTAAGCCGCCAACATGAAAGGTTTAGGTTAGGGTTTGTCGGTGGTCCAACCTAGAGATCTGCCTGGTGGTTCAACCTGGAGAAGTTTGTCACAAATCCTCTCTTGTACTGCCTCCTGTCTCTGCTCCCTTGTTCTTGAGCCGTAGAAACAACGGGTCAAAGATCATCACTCCGGGTTGATCCAACAAATTTAAACCCGTAAAAGAATAGTAGTAACAGTCATGTTACACGTGATCATAGATGTATCTAGATGACAAGTAGAAACAATATCCCTCTTTAAAATTTTAATTTTTTTTCCATTAATAATTTATTCGTCCCCTAAACTTTTTTATGTCATCCTTAAAATATCTCTAAAATTTTAAAAAATTTACTCTTCTAACATAAAATCTTAAATCCGTCCTTACACTTGCGCGTGATAACATCCCATTAAAAAGCAAAAAGGCCAAAGCCTCTCTTTTATTAAAATAAAAAAAACAGTAACGAGGCACACAGAAATAAGTTGCCTCGTTCATTCCGTTCAATGCCATATGCCCAAACTGTGATTCTAAATAGTAATCACTTTCTCTTGGCAGTGATAACCAAAAATACATTTTCAAATAACAATAGAAAATCAAAAAGTATACCCAAAATGAAACGCAAAAACCATGAAATTCTATGAATGCATGAGATCCAACAATTTGACTCCCAACTAAAACCAACAATTGGAATTGATTCTAATGAATGCAATGCTGAATGTGGTTAATCCCAGACCTTAGACCCGACCCGACCCAAAACCAAAATATGTAAAAGAAGCAAAAGTGATTAAATGCACCCCACTGATGCATTTACTTAAAAAATATGCAGGGACTTGAGCTTCAAAAATTAGGATTTCTAGGTTGACAATGGTAGTTTGCAGCACTGGAGATTTATTTAACCGCTGCTCCACTTGGAACCAGATACTCAAATCATCCGTCCCATCAAGCTAAATTTACTGGGAGAAGATCATGATACAGCAAAACTCAATGCTTATCTCGACATAACATGTAAAAACAAGTGACCAAGCTACATGACTAGTCAGTCATTCCAGCAAGTTACACTCCATGATCCACTCCTCTGCTCCAATCCTTCAAGACCAAAAGATATTCTCTTCATCCAGTTCATTGATGATGCTGATGCTGATGCTGATGCAGATGTTAGTGACAACATGAAGACAGATAGCTTCAGTAATCTGACAATGGCAATGACTTGACACATGCAACCCCAGACCCTCAACTAAACACACCCGAATGCATGGACTTCTAAAAGAAAATAAACATGCTGAATGCCTACATCATCAAACAGAAATGGCACGACTAATGGCCAACTTGGCCCATTCAGCGGATTCTTTAATCATAAGGTCCTCTGAAGACAAGCATTCATTCAAAAAGTCTTTGCTTGAGATGGATTGCTGTATCATAGAACCAGCATGACTTCCCAATGTATCAGCTAGATCTCCAAGGACTCCGATGGCAGTTTTCATGACCACATCATCCCTATACAAGGAACATCAAAATAAGTTAATAACCACATGTTAGAAGACATAATCATTAGTTAAAGTAAAAGCTTAAATGAGGGAACTTTGAATAGAACTCACATGTCTTTCTCCATGTATATGCCATCCAAAAACTGGAGGATGTGAGGTGCATAAGGAATCAACAGCTGAGTTTTGGGAGAGTTTTTAAACCCTTGGAAAATACCAGAATATGCCTCCAGAATTCCATTTCTCAGGGAGTTTGTGTACTCTACCAATTCATCATCACCTGCTATACGGGTAGACAACTCTGCAGCGCTTTGAAGTGCAGACATGGCCCACATTAGGTACTTCTCAAAATACTCTCCTACTGCCAACGCAATGTCACCAAAGCATGAAAATATGGGAGGCTTCACAGAGCGATGCAACTGGTTGCTTGATAAATTCTTGAGAAGTTGAGTCATAATGCCATCACAATAAGGCACAACTTTTTCCTCCAGTGCCCTGGAAATGTCACCCACAACACCAACAGTCACAGCACAGACCTGGTACTCCTCAAAATTCTGGAGACCCATTTCCAAGTACCTATAAAACTCTGGCATGTATTTTGCAAAATCTGATCCTGCCACATAAGCAAGAGCACCAATAGCAAGCATGGCTTCCTCATGTACGGTAGCATTCCTACAAGCAAAAACCCTAAGGAAAAGTCCCATGATCTGATCTGCATGCTGTATGAACACATATTTGGTTGGTTCTGATGAACCAAGCTTCTGAATAATAACTTGTAAACACCCACAAAGAAGGCCTTGCAATTCACTTTGCTTTTCCCTTTCATCAGATGAGAGTTTCTGGCCTTCCAGGGTGTTATGCAGCTCCATCATGATGACAGGAACCAATTGCAACACCAATGGAGTTGTCTCATCTGTTGAACATCTCACTATTTCATTCAATGTCTCATAAGCAGCAGTCCTCAACCGGGATTCATCAGCATCATCTCTGTGAGTGACAGTGAGAAGGGACTGGACAATTTCCTGGAAAAAAGGAGTTAATGGAGATGATGGACCCATTTCCTCATAACCTTGAGCAAGAAAATAGAGAGCACCACAGGCCTTCTTGGCTACATTTGGAGTGTCCTTCATACTCTGTAGCAGAACTGTGACTATCTGTTGGCAATTTGCCTGACTGATGATGGGAGAATCAACTGCTGAACCATGAAGAAATTCAAAGATACGTCCCAGAGTCCAAGCTGTTGTGTCTTTGACGTGGCTACTGGGGTCCTTTGTCAAAGCACTGAGCATGAAGGTAAGAGCAACATTCACAAGGGGTATTAACTTCTCAGGAGAAGGGCCCTCCAAGATTGAACCAAAGGCATAAGTAGCCCCCTCCCTCTGCCTCCAATCTGGTTTTGAAATATTTTCTTCAATAAACGGCACGACAAGAGGAACTATATCATCTCCCACAGTCCGTGCAACCAAACCAAGACATGTTCCTCCAGCCATTGCAATATTCCAAGCCCCTTCATCCTGATCCTGATCCTCCTCCTGCTTCAACAGTGTCTCCAACAACATAGGAACAAGGGCAGGAAGTGCCTGCTTGATGAAGTAAAAACAAGGTATATCAGAGTCCCCAGTAAAATCACCACCATATTCTTCCAAAATATCTATCTCCTCATCACATATTGAACTCCAGAACTCAATGGCTTGAAGGGCAACAGGTTCCTCATCTTCTTTCACAGCCTTTGCTGTGATGTTAAAAATATCCTGGATATATGGAGCTAGTTTTTCATAGTAAGTTGATGAAATGGATACCAAACACTCGAAAGCTGCTTGCCTTATCCTCACTTCTGGGGACAGCGTTGCCTCACAGACAACTCTCATGATATAATCACGCTCCATGTCATTGCTGAAATTTGCCTGTGCAAATCCTAATGCATTGTAAAGTGCTCTTGTAGCAGCAAGCCTCACATCAATGCTTCCTTCTGAATAACTCATGCCTTGAACTACAGCTGTAAGAATTTTATTCACTTGATCTTGATCAATGACATCTGGGGAGACCTCCTCACAAAAATACCCAAGAGTCTCCAAAGTGGCTTGCTTAGCATGAGCAGGTAGCTGGTGAATATTTGATAAAAGTGAACCTATCAACTCAGGCCACTGTTTCTGTGGCAACTCAATGCCTGCAACCTTTGCAATGACTTGAGATGCAGTTGAACGAGCATCAGATACTGGAGATGTTAGAGTCTTCAGTAAGCATGCCTTAATCTGGCTCTTTGCATTGCTGTCAACGATAACCATCTTTGAACAAGCTCAAACTTCCTGTGCTGTTCCTTAGCATCCAATGCATTCTTAAGTATCAAGCCAGCTAATTTACGTGTTTCAACAGGCTTCTCCTCATTTGCTAACTCTCCAGAAAGCGACACCAAGAAAACGGAAGGTTCTGCTCCTGAAACTGTTTCAAACTTTCTTCTGCATTCGTTCGTACAGCTCCGTCTATTGACTGTGCACTCAAAAGCACCTGTGTAACCTCCATAGCCATAATATTTCTGAAAAGTGAAAACATTGACACATGATAAATTATATGTACATAAAGTCAGAGCTAAATATTGATAGATATTCCAGCACCTCAATCCTGAAAACAATAAAAGGTTAATACACACACACACACTCACACAAAAAAAAAAACAACAACAACAACACAAATAATATGCACTGTTGCCTTAAAATTCGTTGAATCAGAGTAAACGACAATAACAAGCATGAAACCAATATGCAGTAAATGAATCAAATAGATCCATGAAAACTCTATTGTCATCTCTACTTACATAGAAGTTGAGAGGAACACTTAAATATTAGAGATCATTTATGCAGCCAATTCAACATTAAAAAAAGCTTTAAAACCTCGATTTTGATAAAGAAAAAAAGAAAATTCCTAGATCAAAGTCGATCTAAATTAAATAGAATTAACACTTAGAACCTCGACCATTCAAACCTTTGCAAGCAAAAGAATATAATAATCAGTATTTCAAATAAAAAGAACCTTGGGATATACATATAAAAAGCGGATCAATGCATCAATATCGGATACCCAAAACCACTGTACGAAACCCTAATTACAAATCAAAACAAAAGTTTAAAAGGGGAATTTGACAATACGATCTTAAAATTCAATAAAAATGGAAACTTCACCTTTCACCAATTGGAGAAGAGCAACTGAATTAGATGCTAATAATTAGAGAGAGAGAGAGAGAGAGAGCGCAAGAAGAAGAAGACGCGGATTTGAGCTGGACTCAATAATTTATTTATACAAATATTTACATATTTTTAATTTTACTTTTTAGAAGGGAATTTGGTTTCTTTTAAATTATATTATTGCAAAAAGGTATGCCAACAAATTTTTTTTTGGTAACAATGTTTTTTTTAAAGAGAAAACAATTTAGTGGTCGAAAATGCTTATAAAATACGATTTTAAATAATTTTTCTTGGATTAGCGAAAATAACCAATAAATTCGCAACGCGAACTCCAATTTCGCAACACAATTTCCTAAATTCGCAACGCGAATTTCCCAAATTCGTAACTGAGTTTCTGAAATCGCAACGCGAATTTGCACATAAGTCAAATTCGCAAAGCGCGTTTATTTTCGCAACGCGGATTTTATTTTCGAATTTGAAACACGAATATTAATTTCGTAACACAAATGTAAACAATATATCTCGTAAATCGTAACTCATAACCTAAAACCCTAAATCGCAACTCAGTCTCATCTCCATCTTTCACTCTCTACGACGACATCCGTCCCCATCTCCGCGACATCCGTCCCCATATCCGGCGACCCCCTTATCTCAATCTCTCAGAGCCACCCTCTCACAACCATTCACGGCCATAAATAGAAAATCAACCACTGAGGGTTAGTTTTTTAATTATTTTTATTTTGAAATTTTTGTATTATTATTAGATTTTTCATATGTAAATTGATGATAAATTTACTCGTAATTTCAATATATAGATTAACCATTTCACTTAGATTGCTTAGTAAATTCATTCGGTTTCTGCCAATACTGCTAAACTATTTAGTCTTTAACCCTGTGAAGTTAATATTTGTCTTTTGGTTGAAGTAATGATATTCATTCAAGTTTCAATTTGCAGAAGAATAGTAGTTTTTGAAATTTAAATTCGCAACACGAAAATGAAATTCGCAACACGAAAATCGCAACGCGATTTTAGTTTTCGCGTTGCGAATTTCATTTTCGTGTTGCGAATTTAAGTTTCAAAAACTACTTTTCTTCTGCAAATTGAAACTTGAATGAATTGCATTACTTTAACAAAAAAACAAAGACAAATACTAACTTCACAGTGTTGCGAATTTAAGTTTCAAGAATAAACTACTATTATTTATGTTGTCATTGAACCTGCACTAAACCTATATGTTGTCCTTTTAAATGTTTATATAAGTGCTTACTTCTGGAATGTTATCTAATGCATTTTGTGAACTATGATAGAATAATGACTTGGGTGAATACCGGGCTAGTTTGAAACATATTTGCTATATTTTCCCTGTTTAATATCATGTCTGTTTATTGTGTATAATTTGTCTTTTTTGGTATATCTAACTTGGTATGCTTATTGTTTTTGTTGGGAATTTTTTTTGCCTACATTGACTTTAAGGAATAAATTAAGCCTAGCCACTACAATTGCGTCGACACTTACACCTGTACAATGAAATTTGTTTGAGAATACTTGTTTCGGGCCATGGCTGAAAGTACAACATCCAGGTGGAGATGCTATGTTAACTCATTTATTTCTTCAGACAATGACTAACGATCTACCCAAGGGGATACAACGTGGTGATGAAAAGATATGGTTTCATTTTCCATCGGCGTATAATCGTTTTGGGCGGGAGGAGTTTTGCTTAGTCATTGGTCTACGTTTCGGACGATACGATGAAGTAGGTTCGTACACTAGTCATATCGCCCGCCCATCATTGTTATTTCGGGTTTTTCCTGAGCTGACAAAAGTGAAGCCCAGTTTACACGTCGATGATTTGAGAAGATTACTTCTTAAAGATGGTTTTACTTGGATGGATGACCTTGATGTTGTCCGAGTATGCCTTTCATTACTTTTGAATGCCGACTTTTTAGCCAAATAGAGCAGACAACCAATTTATCAGGATTTAATATTATTGGTAGAGGATCTAGATGCATGGAACGTGTTTCCGTGGGGTTCATATCTATGGAAAACTACCTGGAAAAATTGTCGTCTGCCTTTAAGGACCGTCGTAGTTTGCATGGCCATGGTTCCAAATACACTTTGGTAGGCTTTATTTAGGTCTTTAAGGTAAGAATTTCTATATAATGTTTCCAAAATTATAATTAATTATTTAACAATTACTAAAATTAATGTTTGTGTATTATATTATTTGTAGATTTGGATATTTGAGGCTTTTCCCAGCATGCGTACATATGCCATCAAAAATTCAAATGATATTCCTAGGCTATTACCTGGAGAGGATCCGCCTGTTGGATTGGGAAGATTTACTACCATATACGACGATGAATGATGTAAGTTAACACAAATACCATATATAACAAGTTATTACTAGTAGACGTTTGACTTTGTTTGTGCTTTATATTGTTAGGAGGCAAACTATCCATTACAGAGGCTGACACCCACAGAAGCTGAGCTTGCCACTGATTGGTGGCAAGCTAGTAGGCGTTTTTTTTATGGGACGGATGATGAGCACCCCCTACTTCGAGAGCCATCACCTGATCGAGCCGATTCTACAGCTCGACACCGAGAGCCATCACTTGATCGAGCCGATTATACACCTAGACACCGAGAGCCATCACCTATTCCATCACATCATCGAGCCTCTTCTCTACCATCACCTCATGATAGACGACCGGCAAAGATGCCACGATATTTATCTCCCCGTTCTCTACCTCCACGGGATGAGTTAGGGGAGTTACGTGATGAGGTCAGTGCTTTGCGTGATGAGGTCGGTACTTTACGTGACGACAATGGTGCATGGAGTGATGAGGTACGGTCTTTACGTGGTGAGGTAGTTGTTTTACGCGATGACAATGGTGCTTTACGTGGTGAGGTATTTACGTTATGTGATGAGGTAGCCGCTCTACGTGAGATTATTTCATCATTACAGAATGAGGTTTATACTCTACGCAATGAGGTAAGTTTGTTTAATTTTATAAGAAATACTATACTTAAATGCAAATAACCTTTTTCGGCAGTATTTATTTATTTATTTACTGATTTATGCATTAATTTATTTTTAGCAACCCGATAAGGTAGGTGTTTTTCGTCGGGTTTTTCTTGCACGACGGGTCACGCATCAGACGTCGTGGACGTACCATTATGTCTTCTTTCACCCCAATAGTTCTAAGACTGCGTAAGAAGAAGCCCGATCCACCTGCCATTGTTCAGGATCCACCTCCCATTGTTCAGGATTCATCTGTCATCGTTCAAGAGGCCCCTCTCATCGTTCAAGATCCACCTCCCACCGTTCAGGATCCACATGGCATACTATATCGACATATTGGTAAACCCCCTATTGTGCCCCGTATGATGGATCAGAGTTGGCTTTCGTATCAGTTACCGGCCAGTACCATTCCTCAACATGAGATGAACACACTATCAGACACAATTATGGATAATACCCTTTGGGCTAAGACCGCAGTTGATTTTTATCTACATGAGTGGAGCCAGGGGTGCTACACTGACATATGCAATATCAACAATATACATCTGTTTCTTGAGCGGTCTTGGTGGGATGTTTTATTATGGGTTGAAGAGAATGACTATTTCGAATGGGGGGTAAGTATTATATTCTTCTTATGTTGATTTTGATTATTTTTTTAAAATTTATTAAATTCACTAATATATGTATTTTTTTTATAAAACAACATATTGATGCATGAGTGTCATGTCTTCTGGTTATAAGGAAATTAAAGAAAATCAAAAAGACGCGATACACTATTATGCCTTCGTATTTTCACGCAGCTCACTTGCAGGATCAGAGAGACGCTTCATATGCGTTGGGTAATGGAAAAACTATCATTTATCCTGCGTAGTGGGAGGTCAATAAGGTTAGTATTTATTTTTGCATATTTATAGGTGTTCATAAAATTTATTTGATGTGCACAGTTGAATTATTATTTATTATATTGCAGGTGTTTATCCCTATTATGGAACGTCGTCATTGGATTCTCATCGAGCTTCAGCTCCCATCCCTGAAGATGATAGTGTATGACAGCATGTTAAATTACATACTATTGTCTGATTTGAAAGATATTATTTGTAGGGGATGGAGCGATCATTTGGCTAAATACTTGGATACCATTGATTATTGGACTAATTCAGGAAACAAGAAGCCAAATAAGTTAAAAGTTTAAATGATGAGAGACGAGACAACTCCATAATAAACGTTGGGAGCCAGAGTGGATTGTGGTCCTCTTGTATGCATGTGCTTGTAACGTATGACGAGAGGAGGTAAACAGTTTCTACCTCCGACAGATAGAGATAGAGGTACAATAGGGTTGTGGTTTCGGTATTTTATGGTTTCGACAGATAGAGATAGAGGAGGTAAGTGTTGTTAACATATATACTCTTTGTTTTAGATGAAATATTGATCAAAAGTAGTTTGAAAATGTTTGGTTAAGTACCTAGAATTCAATAATTTCAGCTCATATTTGTTGGTTTTAGATGTGTAGAAAATCTCATGGCCATAACGTTTCTGCAGGTTAATCCTTCAAGTGAGCTACGTTAAATTGATGTATTTGGATGTAAGCTCCCTATTGTTAGAAGCATTTGGATGTACTGTTTGTGGCAAATTGATGTATCAATCTGCTGTCAAGTGTAAATAAGAATTGTTTTTTTTTGTTTAATTGATTTGTTGTTTAATTTCAATATGCATTATGTTGAAGGAAAAAAAGACCTGTTGAAGGTACACTACCTTTAAGAAAATCGAATTCGCAACGCGAAATTCAAATTCGCCTTGCGATTGTTGTGAAAGTCAAATTCGCATTGCGATTTTTTATTTTCGCGTGTCAAATTTGATTTTCGTGTTGCGAATTTGATTTTCGCGTTGCGAATTTGACTTTCGCAATAATCGCAACGTGAATTTGACTTTCAATTCAATTGAAGGCAAACACCTTCAAAAGATAACAAACAACAATCTGATAAGTGATAACACTGAACAGATCATAACAATGTTCAAACTCAAGTTACTAATGCATGCCTAACTGAAAATGTATGCATTCAC